GTGTGTGTGTGTGTGTGTGTGTATAAGGTATTATCAAATAAAGAAACATGTGACACTATTTAAAGATTATTATTATCAATTTTTTTGTTTATTTTTTTAGTTATTTTTCTGTCGGTTTGTTGTGCTCATCCCAGAAAAAAAAGAAAGTTTTTATATGTATACACATTTTTGAAATTGGCAGTTTTATTACATTAGTGTAAGTGTGCGGTACTATGAGGCCCTGTGGTGTCAACAAAAATTTGTGGCTCCTATCATTTGAGTTGCCCATCCCTGTTTTAGATAATCAGCTTGTTTTTGGTCTCTTCTTCTGTCCTTTCCTGTCATAAACCCCCCTACCTGACCCAGATACACACTGACCACTCCAGATAGCTGCAGAATTTTCCACCAACAAACAAGTCATCCTGCTGTTCATTTACCAGAAAATCATTGTCCTGCTCTGCGGCAGAAACAAACAGGCAGTGTGAGCAACACATTTAGTGGACAAAACACAAAACCGGAGACAACAGGCTGTCTAGTAAAAACTGCCAGACGTTGACCAGGCATCAACCGGACAAAACTGAACACACTTCAGTGGCACCGAGCAGGAAGTTTGTTGACTCTCAGGTGCTGTGGCCGTGGGATTCAGTAATAACATTGTTTGGCTTCACCTTAAAGCCCTGTGCTGTGAGCAGAGACGGCCTGTCTCTGTTCTCCGGCCTGGCAGCAGCAGCTGGTGAGTCAGAGGCGACACAGCATGGACCCCAGCACAACCGCTTGTTAAAATGGAAGCACTAATTAAGCCTGTGTTTCCGCCACGTCACCAAAACCCTAATCAGTGTCCGAGTCAGTGCCTGTTTAACATACTTCAGTGGCTCAGACCCAAAAATATATTGAAAAATAAATTAATAAATTAAATTAACCTGATTTATACTCGATTTTCACGTCAGGACGGAAACTTCACCTGACAAATGACTGTGTGATTAACTACAACATGAGCACTTTTCAGACAACAAACCTAACATTTAATCCTTTTCCCTCCTCCACAGTTATCACTGTAACTGTGGAAACAGCAAGTAGAGTGACGGCGCACAGCTTCAGTCAGGGCAGATACGTTCACATATATCTGTGACGCCTGCTGTTCTGGATTCAGACCAGTCTTATAAAATTTAATAAAGTGTCCTCGATGGGGGGTGGAGTGGGAGTCAGAAGGCGATGACAATCAATGAGGAGTTTTAGCTCATGTGACGCACCTATTTTTAAACTCGGCAATCACTAACAGCAGCTTTTCCATATGATTTTAACACCTCCTCCATTTTTGACACCCCTCTCCGCTCTTACGTTAAACACTCGAGCTCTCCTCCATGCATTTGATCAGCCTTTTATTTCATAGAAAACACACGTTTGAAGTGAGTTTTAAGTACGCACACTGTGCAGACAAATCTTTAAGTGTTCATGTTAACAGTATTTAATGCAGCATGGATTCAAGTAATCTGTAGTACTTTACTTTGTTTGGCATTATTTATTAATGCAGGCTGCCTGCTGCGTCTGATTATCACTGATACCGCTGAACATTTCCCATCATCCTCCCTTCCTGCACTCCTGTGCAGAACCAGAAAGCAGTGCCCTCTAGTGTATTTACCACTTCTAACAGGGCAGAACTACAGTATTTAGTTGCCAGACATGATGTTTCCTATGTTATTTATTAGTAAATGCAACACTGCAAACATTAATCATCTAAAACTAAGTTTTAAAAACACTAGATTAATTCTCAAATTAAGTGAAATAATCTGCTAGTGCAGTAATAATTGCACTTGGTGAGATTTATAGAAATAGTGGAAAAACTTCAGGCTAACAGCATTAATAATCTGCTCACACATTCTGCTCTTGAACACAAGATGAAAAACACTTTTTGTCTGGATACAATATTGTAAGACTTGGTTAGATGGATAATTTTTGCAATGTATTCAAATTTGTATTAATTGTTCTGCCAGTATTTATCTGTCAACGCTTTCTCATTAATTAAAAAAAACATGTAGATAATGTGTCATTTTGTGCTTTATTTTAGAAAAAAACACTTTTTATACAACAACACGCATCAAAAGATGTTGAACTTTCACTTAAACAGAATGATGTCTTTTGGAATCAAGGCTTGTCATTCCTTAAACACTTTTCACCCACAGCCTTTTATGTCCGATCAGATCATCAGGCTCATGCAGGATCAAAAAAGTTCATAGACATTATATATGTATTTGTACATGATGTCTGTGGTATGTGCTGTGATTGACTCTCAGCTATCACATCAAAGTTAAGGCCAATGTTCAGTTATAGGGTTTTTTTAGTGTTGGCTAATGTCATTTAGCTGAGGTGGCCATCTTGAATCAAACTGAATCCAAACGTTAATCAGTTGTAGACGCAACTATTTGCTTTTGATTTTCAGCGGTGAGCAGTATTTAACAGAAGGCACTTATAATACAGGTGAAGGTTCAGTAAGTAGCTGTTTGGATATTAGTGGATGCAGTTCTGTGGAGATTCGTGTTTTTTTAAAAACGTGTTCACGCCAGTCCATTTCCCATGTGTGTGTTAAGACTTCATGTCACAAGAGTAAATTAAAAGTCAGTGAAAACAACATGTGCAGTTAAATATTATCCAGCTATGTTTAAGCCCAACAAGGAAAACAAATGTCACTGCTTCATTTTAAGAGATGTCAAGAAGGGAATTCTTGACCAATTTTTGATTTTACTTCTCAGGCATTAAAAACAAACTGAGACATGTTGAGCAGCATTAAATACTGTAGAGCAGGAATAATCAACTGGTGGCCCAGGGGCCCCATCCAGCCCGAGGGTGAGTTTGGTTTGGCTCAACAGGGAGTTCATTTAAAATAAAACTAGATTTTAAATCATGAACGAAATGTATATATTGACAATAACTGCTGGATGTTCTACTGGCTTTCAGTAACTGTGACCTCTAGAGCGATTTAACTGAACAGCCCTTCTCTAGATGATTAAAGCCCATAACAAGAAAAAGTCCCTTGTTAATGTAATCTGTTCTACTTGGAAAATAAAAATCCCTGAATTAAATTGCTAACAGCTGTGAATTGTTCCCATCAAATTGATCAGGCAACATTTTTTATCTGGTATATTTTTCCAGAGTATAATTTAAAAACATCCATCGAGATACATTTTATAACTCTCAACAAACTCTCAATCAAAATCAAAATTCTTGCAGAAAAAAACAAAACAAAACAAAAAAACAACATTTGAGTGACAATAATGGGCTGTTCAGTGTGAAAGTGGAGCTCTTGGAAAGCTTCATAAAAATGGAGTTAATGGTGTTTTTACAGCAAACAGACCCAGCCCAGGAGGCACCGCAGAGGAAGATGTTAAATTGGTTTGGCACAGAAAAGAGGCAGGCTTGTTTGTTCTTCCCACAGGGTTGTTTTCAGCACCTTCACCCTCGCTTTATTTCTGCTTCCCAACCTCTGCATGGGAGATTAAGATGTCCTTAGCATCCGCGCAGAGTCCCACTGCAGACCAGTGAAGAAACATACCTGTGCATCTCAGAGGCTCACCTTCTGTGTGCAGAAAGAGGAGAAATGGTTCACAGTGAAGCACGCACGCAGACAGTGGCTGGAAATAATAAACATTAACCAAGTCTTGTGGGTTCAGATGTCATTTTAGATGCACGTTCACTTTTGCATGTCTCACTAGTGTTGTATAAAGTACCACAAAGTGATACTTGAGTAAAAGTACAAGTATCTGACCAGAAAATTATTTTGGTAAAAGTTAAAGCCTCCTTTAGGAATATTACTTGAGTAAAAGTCTTAAAGTATTGGATAATTTTTGTACTTAAGTAATAAAATTAAAAGTACTGATTTAAAATGAGCAGTTAGATTTTCCTGTAATGACATTTATTAGGAGGTGACCTCCCCCAAAAAATGCAGAAATTACTATATCGTATTAAAATAATTAATTTATGTTAAATTTAGGATGCACTAGTCTAACTGTTTCAGTTTATATGCATATACCAAGGGTGACCAAACCTTTTCCCCAAAATGAAAATCTATCTGAGGGCTGCAGCCAAATGCAATAATATAATTCATGAATTACAAATATTTCTTAAATACAGTCCTTTTATTTTTTTAATGATTAAACTAGAAACCAGTGCGGTGGCCCACGTTTTTGACTAACTACAATACAGTCCCTTATATAATCACTGGACCAACTAATGTAATGACTTTAAGTGGAAATATTGTGTTTCTACAAATGCATGTGGCAGCATGAGGTTACATGTCTGCTATGTCCTGCTGGAGTGTCATTTGTTTGTGTACAAACTAATATAGTGTCAGAATTTTATATATTTATACTTCCCATTCAACCACAATTAAATTCACTCTATCTAGGAGGCACAATTTATATGGATAGAATTTATTTTTTACAATAACAAGCTGGAATGAAAACAAGCAAAAATTAAATAAAAGTAACGACTTTCTACTTCTTGCCTTTTTTTAAAAAAAATGCAAGGAGTAGAAAGTATAGATAATTGTGTGAAAAAGAAGTAGAAGTAAAAAGTAGATTGAAAAATAATTACTCAAGTACAGATAACCAAAAATTCTACTTAAGTACAGTAACAAAGTATTTGTACTTAGTTACTTTACAACTCTGTGTCTCACCTCCATAATAATAGAGAATTGCAATGCCAACTGCAAAACTGAAACAGCTGAGGAAGAAAACTGGACCTGCAGAGGGAGACAAAACAGAAACAAATAACTCGATGCTGTTCAATGTTAACCTCTAAATTATCAGGTCAAAACCAGGAGTATAAAGTTCCTTTGAGGAAATGTTATTACTGTCCGCCACCTGTGTTTTCATTTGTCTGCACTGTTAGCAAAATATCTCATGAAACAGCAGATTAAATGAACATCTACAACTGATTGACTTTTTGAATGGCTGCTACAGCTCATTTATATTAGGCAACTGAAAATGGCTTCAGTTCAGTCAATTATACAAATATTGAGGCATTTTTTTCTTGTAGTAGCTGAGAGTCATCAAACACGTTCTCTGAGTGCTAACACATCTAACACCGATATGACACATCTCTACATGCTTTCCTTTAAAGCACCTGCCGTACATACAGCGGGTAAAATAAGTATTGAACACGTCACCATTTTTCTCAGTAAATATATTATTAGAGGTGCTAACGACATGAAATTTTCACCAGATGTTGGTAACAACCCAAGTGATCCATACATACAAAGAAATCAAACCATAAATGTCCAGAAATGAAGTTATTT